CTCTCTCTCTCTCTCTCTCTCTCTCTCTCTCTCTCTCTCTCTCTCTCTCTCTCTCTCTCTCTCTCTCTCTCTCTCTCTCCCTCCCTCTCTCTCTCTCTCTCTCTCTCTCTCTCTCTCTCTCTCTCTCCCCCCTCATGCTTTATAAAACCCCATTACAACTTGTTGACGTGAACTCAGGGGCCCTGCGGCATGTTGACGGACCTCTCTGCAGACAAAACTAATCAGCGGCTGATTGGGTTATCTCGCAGCATCACGTGGCCCCGGGGCCTCGGTCTGAACCCCCGAGTCTGAAGGCTCAAGATCTATCGTGACCCAACTCAACTGGGTTAAAGCTAATAGCCTAATCTAATGCTGCCGAAGTCGGCGCAGGAGATCGCCCCTGAGGGGGTTCGGCTACATCTCCCAGCCTCCGGATCACGTAACAATTTAAGTCTTCCAGCCTGCGCGCGTAGATGGAGTGAACCAAGAACTGTCGGGGCCCGGGCCGGCCTCTGATTGGAGGCCTCTGGAGATGAAGGCCAACTCCAGCTGGCAGTGAGCGCAGACCAGACAGCCAGGCTCAGTCGCACAGATCGGAGGGACAATACAACGCTGGCACACACAGTCTGCTCGCTCTCCTTTCAGATGTGTGTCTGTGCACGGCAGCGTGTGTGTGTGTGCGTGTGTGTGTGTGTGTGTGTGCTATTTTAGACTGGAGCTTACTTTGAGCAGATCCTTGTGAAAATCTTGGCCGTCGTTCAGTCCTTCCAGGTTGCCGATGAACTGCGTGCACGACATCCTTTTACCGATGTTCTGAAGAAAGAGAGAAATAGAAATGTGCAGGTCCTTCTCCATCGCTGCCTCATTCTCAGTAGATCTGAAATTCAGGCTTCGTATCACTAGTATCTACGACTGCAACTATTTTGATAACCAAGTAATAATGTACGACATTTGCACCTTCAAGCTTCTCAAATGTGAGGATTTTAAATTTAACTTCATGTCGGTCGGATGAACAAGCAATCTGAAGACGCCGTATTAGACTCAGGAATATCATGATGGGCATCGTAGGAATGATTACTGGATTAATGAAAGCATTGAGGCTGGTAGTGATGATGACCTCAGTCACAATAAAGATCAAACTCACAGTGTATCTGCTAACATCTGTTGAAACTTTCCTGGAGAAGCTGATCCCCCGTCCACTCACCTCTACAGACACTTTAATCAATCATCCGTCCGCAGCAGAGCTGCACTATCACTGAGAACACTGGTCCAGATTTACCAAAGGGAGGCTGTGACTATAAAAGTAGCACATTACGATGGTGAGGAGATCAGCAGTAGACCTGCAGATCTGCTGCTGATCAGGCTCACATTCCCAACACTAGAGAGGGAATCACAAGGGCTTCTGAGGAGAGTGAAGCTTTTAAAACTTCATGTTTTATTTGTTTGGATGCACACACGTGTTTATATACACATGCATATATGTACACATGTATGTACACATGTACGTGCACATGTATGTCACCAGATGTTACTCACCTGGCCGTGTAGATCGGTGTTCAGCAGCATCAGAGCGCAGGTGAGAGTGTGAACTGCATCTACAGGATGAACACAGTGAGTTAGCTTCATCTGCTAAATGAGACATACGCAGAAATAAAACAATACAATATAATAATACAATATGTCAACACATTGTGCAATAAATATCAGTGCACGTTACATTGCTGTATGTGAGAGTGAAGCTGACGGTTAAATATTGGACTGAAACTCACAGTGAAGCTCCGTAAAGTCGAGTGGAGCTACAGATTCATCACTAGGATGACACCATCACAGTGTCACACTGTTTTCACGTCGTCATTTGATATATCGTTATCGTGAAATGTTGATTATTGCCACTATCGGCGGCTGGGTGTACTAAATATCCAGGAACAGACTCTCTCTTTGTTATTGCTGGTATTAGAAACACTCCTCTGCAGCACTCACCCTCTGACGGCATGGCTTTTGGGTTGCAGTCCAAGTACCGCTTAGAGAAGTGTGACAGCACCCTCTCCCTCTCCTGAGTCTCCCCCATCAGGGCAAACTGCCGGAGGAACGTCCTGCAGCCACAAACACAGAGACGGTCAGGAGATCATATCCAGTAGAGATCACAAGGAGAAATCATTTCAGTCCACTGAACAATAACTACTGAACTGACCACAGAAGATTAAGATCTATTTCATAATAATCTATCAAATGAAATAACTCTTTAATTACTAATCATCATTTTTACGAGTTGCCAGCGATAGGAATTATCTCAGTACATTTATTCAAGTGTTGTACTTTCTATTTCATGCTACTATATACTTCTACTTCAATACATGTCAGGGGAAATATTTTACTTTTTACTCCATTACATTTATCTCACAGCTGTACTTTCAAGCTATAAAACATGATGCATTCTTACAGTATAAACTATCAAGCAAATATGAAACAGTTAAAATTATCTCCAGCTCTACTTGCCTCAATGTTATAAATGCATCAGCAATAGTAGCAGCCATAATGGTAGTAATATATGTAATGCTGCAGATAGTCTGCATAGTACATTGAGTACTTTTAATTGAAAAACTTGAAGTACATTTTACTGATATATCTGTACTTTTACTTAAGTACATTTTTGAATGCAGGATGTTTAAAGCTAAGTGCTCCAGTATTACCCCACTTGAATGTGAAGGTGAGCATGTTGAGTGTAGGATGATCAGTGTAACTAATATCTGAGTAAATAAAACCAATGTGATACAGCGTTAACCTGTTAAACAATGTGCACTGACTACATGTGGTTACTTACAGTAGACAGAGTAGAAACTGTCATTCTGAATGCAGCATCCTCGCTGCCCTCTAGAGAGCAGTGTTTCACAGAGGAGAGCAGGATGCTTCTGCTTTCTTTGTTTAATTAAACTTCCAAACAGAGATTGGTTATTTGCCTGAAATACACTAAACATTTAGGGATTTTTTATATGATACACAAACTGGCGTCTTGTCTTCACTTCACATTAGAAACATATTTATTATATTTTGTAATTATATCTATTTAAAATGTCATTATTGCATTATTGTGTGTTCTCACCGCAATGCCTGGTCAATAGAGAGGCCTGTGAAGTTGAAGAAGCTCAGATACTCTTCTGCTACCATACGAGTGAAGTCGTTACTGTGGACAGACAGACAAGATAGAAAAGAACACGTAAAGGACTGAACATAGCGATCGAAAAAACAACAAAAACATGTCCATCACACTTTCAAATGCCTGCTTTCTGGGCTCAGTTTGTTCTGGAGATTCAGACCGGAGGCCAGAAAACAAAGGAGGAGATTCCCGCGGTGCACGTGTCACAAAGTGCAGAAACCCTTTCATCCCACACAGCTGACAGAGCGACGGGCAAGAACGCAGACGTAGTAAAACACAAGACATAGTCAGCAGAACGTGAAGCGGCGTACAGTAAATGTACAAGACACAGCATTCATTAAATAAACATAAGATGCAGCAGAAAGGAGAACATGTTAAGGCATCTTCTTTTTACAGACCTGCTTTTATGCAGCGTCGTCTTTTTACTGCTTAAATTAAATCAATTCATTAGTTTGTTCTTGTTGTATTGATTGGTTTAATTGATACATCTATTGTGCTGTTTTTTTTTAGGTGGTCTTGCTTTTGTTGGGCCTCACTGTTGAGCTGATGTTCTGTTATGATCACTATGTTGGTCAAAAGGAGAGCCGTATACCTTATTAGTACTTTCGTAATTACTATTCATAATTACATAACTGATGGTAGATGTAGTAATAGTAGTAAAAGTACATTTAGTAGCAGAAGTAGTTGTTGTTGAACTATTATCAATAAACCATGAGAAAGGGATGTGTGTTGTCAACGACCTCGACAGACGTCACTCATTTATGTCATTTGAGGACCTTCAAGAGGAATTTAATCGAACTGATAAACAGGATTTCTGGAAGTAAGTAGAGCTGAGGAGTAGAGTAGGATCTGTCTTAGGCCTGAAGAGGAAGGAGAGAATAACATTCAAGAGTTTCTAAACTCTCTACACTCTGCCTATAGACTGTATATAATGGGTAGTAAATCAGGGGAGAGTTAGGGTCATTTTCTAATAGACGTCAGAACAACCTGACTTGTATTTGTAACAAGAGGAGTCAGATATTGAAATGATACTTGATAACATTCACCTTTTGAGTTCTTTTGCAGAATATCCACTACATCAAAGCGTACCTCCATCTTGCCGAGGACTCCAATCAGCTGCCCTCTTTCCCGCTCATGTTTCTGACGTTGCACAACAACGTGTTCTATTGTTTCCTCTTGCCCACAATAGTCGCAATCGCCTGTTTCATGTTTACACATTTAACCAGCACATTTTTGAGGTTTTCAGACAGCCTGAAATAACACCGCCTGTAGAGCTAGCTCACTTCTTGCTGAGGTGGGGCGCCACGTCGGACTTCCGGAAGCCGTCCAAGTTGAAGAGCCGTTTGGCCAACCGTCTGGCCGCTGCCACGTCGGCCCGGTGGCTGCCGTTGGTGAGGGTGTCGCTGCTGTCCAGACCCAGCCGCTCACTGAGGTCCTGGTCCAGCTCCGAATCCGTCGCCAGACGGGCCTTGTCCCTGCTGAGAGGGTGTGAAGGGGGTCAGAGGGGTGAAGACAGGGCAGAGATCGTGATGAGACACAAATATTCACTCTCATGAACAATTAATCAGACAAACTGCACCTCCATTTGCACCAATATCCCAAATCCATTGTCATTGTCATTGTTGTTGTTGTTTGTGTTCATATATATTCTTCGATGTATATTTATACTGTACTTATTAAATGTTTATGCTTAGTTTCTCTGTTCTACTTTGTTGTCTTTAACGTCCTTGTTTTCATATTTTTCTTGTTTATTTGTATATTCCACATGTGTACGTTGAGAGCAACGTGGAAACCGGTCAAATTCCATGTATGCGTACACACACATGGCCAATAAAGCTGATTCTGATTGTGATATAGATGGACAAAATATGATATGGAAATGATGCGAAAGATGGGAAATTAAAAAAGGTTTTGGTTCAAGGAGTTGAAAGCGGGACAAATAACATTGATTTGTAAATAATTGAAAAGGAAAGAGAGCGAAAGGGGACACAAGAGGAACAAAGAATGATGGAGATATAATAATAAAACTAATAACTCTGCTATATCAATAATTGAATACTAATATCTGATCTGTGCAGCGCTGATGTTAAATCAGAGTTTTTAGCTGCACAAGAGGTTTTAAAACAAGAAGAAAAATACACAAGGGGGAGATGAAAAGAGTAAGAGAAAGTAGCTTAAAAGAATACAATATATTAAATATATATGTATATATATATGCATGATGATATAAGAGGATTTAGAGCCATGGAGGGAGCGATGGATAACAAAGAGAGCAGAAAATACGCAGCAGTAAACAAATCCCATATTTTACATTAATTCACTAACAAGTATAACAGACGGCATGCAAATCATTTTCTGATCAAACAACATTTGGCATGATTACACACGTCACAAATCTCCTCGTTTACCAGCTTCCCTGTTATCTCTTCTCTAATTAAGCTCCTTCAAAGCTTAAACCAGTTCAGAAATGCAAAACTTATTACATCTGAATTACCCCGTGATAATATTTTAAGCACGTTATGTCACGCTGAGCTGAAAGAGGAACTACTTTTCTGGCTTCTTGATTAGTGAGCTGAAGGTCTCTGAGTTCAGTTGCTTGGAATTCGACGTGATGCTGACCTTCATTGATGCTGTCGAGAGCTGGGTGACAATTCTGGTCACGCCAGCCGGGATGAGAGAACAACAATGACAGTTCAACAGCTGAGGGTTTTATTCCAGAAAGCAAGAAAAACACTTCCCGAACAAGCAGAGCTCTCATTTGGATTCCTCAGCGTTTGGGACAAGCCAAGAAAAACCCACAGTAGTCCCAGGGCTGAAGCTTCCCACACTTACACATCCTTGCACTGTAAATGAGTCAGGCCAAATCACACCAGAGCAAACAGTAATTAATAACAAAAGCTGATTGGGTATGAACGCTACGAGGGTGCAATGGTCCACTTTGGTTTCACAAAGTACACAGAAGAACGGGAACTACAGGTCTCTGAGGCTGTACTTAGGCTCAGCACAGCTTTGAGCTGGATGCAAAAAATGCTGACATGCTGACGTTTTAGCAGGTATAATGTTCACTACTTTAGTGTGTTAGCATGCTGCTAATTAGCACAAAGAACAGCTGAGGCTGACAGGAATGTCTTTAGTTTTATGTATTGGACAAATTAAAAGTTTGACCTGCTGGTGGCGCTAGATGAAAAGTCAGTGGATCACCAAAGTTCTCACAGTTCATGCTGCAAGGGACATGAATGTGTCTGCCAAATGTCATGGCAATCCATCCAATAGTTGAAGTAGATCACTCTAAAAACATAAATGTGAACCTGCTGGTGATGCTAGTGGAAAAGTCATCTGGGGACCATGAACATCTCTCCCAAACTTCATAACAGTTTATCCCATTGCTGCTGACACGTGTCATACAAATACAGAAATGCCAACATCATAGAGGTGCTAGAGGGATCACAAAGGTCACTTGGCTCCTCTGGGGACCATGAATGTGTGTACATGTCATAGTTGTTGAGATATTTCAGTCTGTACCAAACAACATTGCCAGTCGTTATAGCCATGTTTTTAAACAATTTAACTGTGTGCAAAGCAAAAACACAAACTTTAAGTGTAGATCTCCGTACTGGAGCTTTAACACAGAAACCTCTGGGAGACGATCCATCAACACCGTTTTAAAACCGACGTGAACAGACTTGCAAATATAATTTGCACGTCTCCTGTCACTCACAAAGACATGTTTGAATTTTCCCTTTTGTCTAAATTCTGTATTTAAATCCTCTACACACAGACAGGTGAGTCAGGTTCCTGTAGGTATGGGGACCTACCTGTGGCAGGACCGCCTGATCGACATATACCTCTCCTCGCCGCCTCCTGCAGCTGAACCGTGACAGCAGAAGACAGACGGCGCCCTCATCGCCGTCCCGTGACCGCCACCTCGCCTCGGACCACTCGCCCGGCTGACCCCCCCTCTAACCCCGGCCTCGTAACCTGAACGCATCACCGCCATCGAGGAATACCTGTAGTCTCTCCCCGGAGGCCCGCAGACTCTGACATTCCTCTGCTTGGGTTTTGTTGAGTCAAACTGAGACTTCATGGGTCTACTTTTTCTTTCTCTCACTCTCCCTCTCTGTTTGCTGTCATTTGATCCTCACAGGATCCTCCCCCCCCTCACCCACACACCCCCCAAAATAAAAGTAAAAGAGCTGTTTGTCCTGCAATGCTGATCCTTCTCTGTCTTTCTTTTTTCCTTCTGAGTCTGTTTGCTGTTGTTTCTGTTCCCTCTCTCTCTCCCTCTCTCCCTCCCTCTCTCCCTCCCTCTCTCCCTCTCTCTCTCCCTCCCTCTCTCTCTCTCTCCCTC